AACCACATATGCAGATAACCAGATAACCAAGCAAGCGTGAACAACCAGAATGTGATTATTTCGTAAATCTTGGTTTTAAGTTAACAAAATTCGACTTTTCATACAGCTAGAAATCATTTTCAAAGTATTTTCAAACTAAAATCTTCTTACATCCCTTTCGTCTATCATTGTGACAAATATTTCAATTAAATTTAGGGATGTGCGATAAATCGGTTAATCAGTTTTTTAATCAATAATATACTGATTAATCAAATAAACTGATTAATTAGAACGTGATTAATCAGATCCTGAGTAATTACTGTTTACTCACTGTTTACTGTATGGATGTGTGACAAAAATTTCGTATCACGATTCTTACTTCCCACGGCAAAACCTACCTGAAAAAAAATGACTTACCAGGTATTTTTACATCATTATTTTTTGTAGCATTGAGTTATAAGCTTATCCACTTCCCAAGAAAAGCCTCAAGAATAAATCTGAATATTTTTCTTATGTTTGATAAGGAACTTTGACGTTTAATTTATTCATTGTGAATAGCACTAAAAAAGAACAAGCAGGAAAGAGAAGTTAAAATGTAAACAAAACAAACCGGCAGTAAACGTAAAAATGGATAACAATTTGTTAGTTTGTTCTAAAATATTAACAAAAACCGTGATTATATGTTTATTGAAATTACAGGATTGATTTAGAAATGTCTCTAAGCTGCAGCATTCTGATAACGGGACTAGAACTGCTAGATTCCTACGAAAAGATCCGGAGCAGCCCCTCTTATAGGGTTCATCCGTATCTTGCGGACAGAAGGGTAGGTTTTCGAAAGATTTCCAAGATTTAAGAGCTTCACCACAACGATTTGCTGAAAATTTTCGTATGCAACCGGAGATCTTTGACGAACTTTTCGATATACTAGAGCCGCATTTGCATAGGAAAAGAAATACGAGGCCACGAGACTCCATCCCCGAAAAAGCCAAACTTGGTATTGTTCTCGAGTATGTTATTTATGATATAATACTCGGAGTCCGGATCTGTTCCATGGCAGAACAGCGCTGCATTTGTATAAACATCTATAGAAGCTATTGCTAAGCACACACACCCAACGGCAAAGTGTTAAGGACACCTGGTTTTGGTTATTTACTTTTTTCAAATTAATTTTAATTATTTGTTTTTATAAAAGTAAAATTCATTGGTTAACAAAAAACTTACAAATCCAAATTTCAAACTGTATTTAAATCATAAAAGTGCATCTTTTCTTTCTGTATAGTGTGGCTATTTTAAAGAAGTATGAATTTTTCAATAAACAAAAGATTGTGACACGTTATTTGAACTAAATGTTTAGTTTTATTTTTAATTAAAGTAAGATTCTATAGTCTGGGCTATTATAGGGTCCATCGGAATTACATTTTTACAGACTTGGATTGCAAAGTACATATCGACGGCTGAGTGGAAAATCGACCTATCTCGGCAGCTGGTTCGAAAATGCCCTATCTCACAAATTTTCTAGAACGCCCTAGTTCAGAATTTGGTTGAAGAATCCGCTATTTCAGAATTCGGTTCAAAAACGCCATATCCTAACATATTTTCAATATATTTTTAGTTGAGATAGGGCATTTTTCAATAAAATTCTGAAATGAGGCGTTCTTCAACCAAATCCTGAATTAGGGCGTTCTAGAAGATATCTGAGATAGGGCATTTTCGAACCTGCTGCCGAGATATGTCGATCTTCCACTCAGCCGTCGATATGTGATACTTTCTTAGATATTTCGATTCAGTGATCGTGTTTTCATGGGTGAGATATCAATATATAGTGAGCATTGGACCGGACAGATTGTGAAATAGCCTCAACTACATCGACTTGACAAAAAAACTTATTTTCTTAGGAATTATTTAGCTTATGTATGGCAATCTTTTGACACAAAACAAACGGTGACTCGGATTCAGCGACCTCGCGAGCTTGAATTAACTTCGTTTGTGCTTGGACGAGACCATCCAATTTATTCCAAAGCTCCGTATTCTGTTTATCAAGAGATGTGCGACTACGCTTGGGAGTTGAAATCTGCAATGGCAAGAATGATACTCGTACAATTGATTTGTTACGTATCGACTCATATCTTCTATATATGCATATCAAATTCAAACTTTGTATATATGTATTTGTCCAATATATTTTATTGGTGTAGACTTGGTAGAATAAGATATATCAACATCAAACTCGAAACAATATGGGGTTTTGGAAAAGAGGACATAGGACCTCTCAAACCAATTGAAGTTTGCATACTGCATATATTTGGAAGTATTTGTGAAACCTGCGAGTATAATATAGTACTTACATAATCATAAGCGGCGTTGCTTTTGTTGTTGTTATTGGAACTGCAGATGCTCTCGGTTTCGAAAGTGCAGGTGGGAGTTTCCTCCCCAAAGTCCGGTAAAGTAGAGGTTCTGAAAGGTGGTAAATAAGTCATCAACTTTCTCCGTGGTACTTTTATGTTAATTACCTTCTCTTCTGGGATACGTTTGGGAGAAATGACATAACTCCCAGTCAATAGAGTCTTTATATATCGGTTCAGGTATGTTTTCTCCACCTGCGCTTCCACTCTTCGATTTTTGTGCTACCTTAGCTCTGTACCTGTAGCTTTCCCTCAAGCTAGTCCAGGCCAATTTGCATTCATTCGCTATAAAAAACAAAAAAGATTATCAAACATATGCGTGTAAATGGATCACCTAACATACCAATTTTATCCATCGAGGCACTTATCTCATCCCTAGCTTGATCTACAGCATATTTGTTGCAATGTTTGTCGTTGGTTATGTCCCAGATCCGTGGCCATTTTTTCACCTCCTTTATAAGCGCTCTCTTGTCTTGCGTAGTGAAATTTACCGCGCGCTTTTGCCGTTTTGAGGTGCTCGGTTTTTCGCTAAACTCCATAGCTAAAATAGTTATTAAAATGAATATATTTATATATGTACATAGAAGGAAATTTACAATTATTTAAAAATACTCACTTTTGCTGTCAAATTGTCAATTTACTTCAAGAAATATATATGCGTTTCTTTATTTCTTGAGAAAGCCGGCGTTGCCGCTCCCGCATTTTTCTTATAGTAGTAAGGAAAAAGTGTAGTATTTTTACTTGTGAGCTGAGTACTGCTTTAAGTAAATTTGACACAAGAAAATTTCTTAGCCATTTCTTGTGCGTCATTTTATACGGAGTTTTTGGTTTTCTTGGGAGTTGGATAGTAAGCTATAGAGCACACAAATTTGTACTTCCTCTATTTAATTTAAAAACTTATTAAATATAATAAAATAACACTCAAGAGAAAAAACATATAAAAATATACCGAATAATCAAAAATAATTACCTAAAAACATACATCATTTTTTAGTATTTGTCATTATATCTGATTTCTTCTTTTAATGGTAAATGAGATGATTATTTCTTAATTGTTTCTAAGAACATTGATTACTATTTATTTGAAAATTTTAAACAAAATAGTTAATCATTAACATTTAAACAAACACCAAATCTTTTTTGCTATTCAAAATCAAAAATAAAGGGGAAATTTTCCATCCAAGCGACGATATTTGAAAGTTACTGGCATAATTTCGAACCTGTATGTACATTTTCGGGAAAAAGTTAAGAAGTATATTCATATGCTGAAAAGATATTTTCGCAGATTCACAATTTATTTAAAGTATATCATCAGCCCTGTTTCCAATTTCATGTGAATAAATCGCTCCCATAATTTAATTTGTGCATTCAATATATTTCACAATTAAGTAAAATACTAAATTACAAATATTTGAGCAACCACTTCGACACAGTAAAATAAAAAAATGGGTATGTATTAATAAAACAAATATTCTTAATACATTTATATTTCGGTTAAACCTGTGATGTTCAAGCGCACTGAAATACTTTTCTATCCATTTCTCCAGTGCTAAAATAATTTTCACAACATTGAATTGCTGCACAACACCCTTATTGCCAAAAAGCAATTGTTATAGACTGAATAAAAACTATAACCACATATGCAGATAACCA